ACTTGCTAAGGTCAACTATAAAATTGTTGGACCTGAGTATCTCTGGGCTTTCCGGGCGTGGCGAATTGATGATACTGCTTGCCCGTGGAGTCAGCCCCTGATCCCGTCGTAGCGTGCCCAGTCTTGCCATTGGGGTGAGGTTCTGCAAGGCGGGGCTCGTATCAGGAGGAGAGGGTGGTATGTCGAAGACTCCCAAGGGTCGCAAGGACGAAGCTAGCTTCCTTGGGCTCTTGGTACTGCCTGGCAACCTCAAGCCCTGTCGCTTCGAAAGGTTCTGTGGTGTAGAATGAACATGATGCTTCGCTTTCTTTCGAGGCACCCACTTTCCAATATCCGCTATGTCGGGCAGTTCTTCGTCATCGTCGTCATCTTGGACAGAACTGGACGGAGGGTCGCGCATCGGAGACCTTTCAGCTGGAGACTGAAGGGCGGTCTCCAATGGCGACAAAGCCAGATCATCGAGATCCCCCAAGCTGTCGTATAGATCCGCAGGCTGGCTTTCCTCGAGCTGGTTTGAGACGCCGTTCTGCACTGTCAGCTGGCTATCCTCTTCATAGTCCTGCTCTTGTGAGTCCTTCTCTTGCTCCTGAACATATTGTTCCTCGGCGGTCACTCGCATGGGCCGCACCCCGTGTGATTTGAAGAGCTTGCTGTACTGTGCATTCTCAAGCAAGTAAGGATGCTCCTGGATAGGCTTTCGCGGTCGCAAGGAACGATAGCCGCGGTCGAATGTCTGTGTTGGGTCAATCCGGTCGGACTGGGGAGTACTCGTAGTAGACGGAGTTGGTACCCCAACATCTCGAGAGGCGGCTTGAACATCCAAGGGCTGGCTGGGCGGAAGCGGAACAATGGGGCCCTCGGCGATGTCGGGTTCGAAGCTTCTTGCAAGTTCTTCGAAGTCATAACCAGCTAGCTCGGAAAGTGGCGATGACGGTATATCGATGGGATCTTGGGAAAATGGCGTGCTGATGCCCGGCTCTTCGATTTGCCCGTGCCTCTGCAGAGCACTTCTCTCCTGAGACAATGATGTTGGCACGTCCCAGATGTCGTCGGGGCCGTTGCGGTCGGGGGGAGACTCCTGCCTCTGAGCAGGCAGCCGGTTGATCACCGGAAGCTGGATTTCGTCGAGATGCAACGACGGCTGAGAGTCGTCGGTGTCGAGTGTGTCTTCGTCGTCCGAATCGGGAACCTCTCCAAGCTCCTTCCATGTCGCCATTGACGCTACAATGCATGTCTTTGGGGTGGGAGATGATTTATCGATGCATGTTCGGGTTTGTGTGACTGCTCGGTGTTTCCCATCGGTCGGTCTTCCTCCGATGCTTGGACATTCGCAAATTCGACAGGTGCCTCAGGCTTACACATCAATAATGCTGTGCTCCGTGAGTCGGCTTAAGCTTCGACGCGTCTGGATATTGCGGGGACCGCGTCGTTCTCCAACAACGGCCAGCCGGCCCACTTTCCAAAGGCACACTGTACTTGGCGTGCACGCCCTCCATAAACCACTTTGCGCGAAACTGGCGCCAGATCAGTCGCAAAACTTTCCGGGTCGCTGAGGTCATCCATATCTGACTTGGGCCTTCTCGTCTGCTGCCGCGTCTCGGCTGGTTGCTTTATAGCAACACAACCTCACCATGAGTTTCTTCGTAAGCCGCGTTCTGCCACTCGGCTTTGCAATTGGCTTCGGTATCTGGAATGGTCAGTCATAATTCCAGGGGTTACAAAATGCAGCATCTCTGGCGAGCTTGTGTCTGATCCAGGAGAATTGTAGGGTACTATGCCTTCAATCCAGTCTTCAAGGAGCAGATGGAGAAGAAGAACGACCCTGCTCTGAACGGCGGACAGGCCGGACAAAAGCAGCTACGAGAATCTCTGCAGTCTACCACCACTTCGTCTGATCCTGCCCAGCGATGAAAACATACCAGCTCGAGCGAAAGTGGTCATCTCCGCATTGGCTGCATCGCAACCTGGTGTCATAGATCGCAAGGTTGTTGGCTGTGGACTGGGATGCTCGGCACGAATATCAGGCTACTGACTACATTGGACTTGGATCACGGAATTTGTCCTTCTGCACCTGAACTCCTGCTAGCCACGATCTGCAATTTTGCACAAATAAGCATGCGGTTGTTACCATACTAAGAAGCATCGACTGTGAGGATGAGTGACTGGTTCTGGCCTCCACTCACCAGTCGTGACAGGGCAAAATCGCCCCAGAGACACAACGAGAATACAAGATACTGATGCCTTACGGTTGTCGTGGCCACCATGGTGACTCATGCGGATTATCGCCACAGGAAAGTCACATCCCGAGAGCTGAGCTTTTGCGACTCACTGGTCAGATGAGCTTCATAATTGGGAGGCCGGTTCACAAGACGCAGCTTTTACGACGTACATGAGCTTTGAAGATGCATTCATTTACAGCCTAGGATTGCCTCAGCGAGGAGTAGTACAACACAATGTGCTCGCACATGAACAAACCCAAGGTACACTTTATCTGACCAAGCTTCCAACGACAATTGTTTCCGCAGTTGTCTAGCTGTGACAAGGATCAATCGTACGACAGTGCCCCCATCGTATGGTGCACCGAGACTTGTGCCGAGCATTTTCAGGGACAATTTGAATGACAACGATGATAGCCAGAACATCGATGATCGACCGTTGGAATGGCTTCCAGTCATGGTAAGAGCAACGAATATCACATGATTACCGTTAGCCTCATCATCAAGTCGTGCTCATCACAGCATGCCCGACGTCCACTGAAATGGCAAAGACGATGGTGGGCCTGTGTCGTAATTGCAATGCAGTGAGTGGTGGGGCAACCGGCTAGTGCCACTTTTGACATAGCCGCTGCCGGGTAGCTTCAGATCGTGGTTCGCAGCTCCCCAGGCCTGACTCGACGCATTCGCCGGGGAAGCTCGGCTCTACGCAAAAAAACGCACGACAGCTCAACCGACAACCTCCAAGTCGTCATCAGACAGCCACGCGATCCGCATCCACCACCTCCCGAGACGACTCGCGACCGCCTCAATCGATACCCCCGCCGCTCCTTCGACTATCCTCTCAGACCCGTGCCCGGCACACAACCGCCCAACATGATGCGCACCCCGGCCACTTCTCTGCTGCGTGCCTCTGCCAGAGCGGCCTCGAGACAGGCCACCTACGTCCCCCGCGCCGCCGCCTCGACTCACGCCATCTCGAATCCCACTCTCGCCAACATTGAGAAGCGATGGGAGGGCATGCCCCCGACCGAGCAGGCTGAGCTTTGGATGGCGCTCCGTGACCGTATGAAGACCAACTGGGCCGAGATGACCCTCAACGAGAAGAAGGCCGGTATGTTGTGCCAATTTGGCCCTTCCCAAGACCTCCACCAACATAGCCAGAGACTTAAGCCCTGGCTCCGGTTGCTTATTTCTCAATCTGTGTGGACGAGGGCGTGCATCATTTGCCAATTCTCGCACCGATGGTCGCATATCTCCATGGGACGACTCTGCGATATATGTGTAAACAAGGACTAACATCATTCGCCTCTAGCCTACTGGATCGCCTTCGGCGCTCACGGCCCCCGCGCCCAGGAGCCTGCCGACGAGAACCAGAAGGTCATCATGTACACAGTCATCGGCCTTGCTGCCTCGTTCGGTATCTTCGCTGCCATGCGCGCCTTCGCCGGCCCTGCCCCCACCACCATGCACAAGGAGTACCAGGAGGCCACAAACGAGTACCTCAAGGTAAGAGCCCCCTGTAGCCCTTGCGTAGCTTGTTGCTGGTTCTCGGAAGCAGCACCGCTACCATGGAGGACACACACTAACAGCATACAACACAGGGACAACGCGCGGAGCCTCTTACCGGTCTGTCCTCCGCCGATTACAACGGTGTTGGCCACGTCCAGTCTCCCCCCAAGCACTAAGCAGCCTGTCATGTCTATACCATGTAATCCGTCTGCTGTAGTAGACATAATCGTCAATATAGGATGTCGTTTACTCAAACCATTGGTTTCCTTTGTCACTAGAAAGAATTGCATGGGACTAGTCACACGAACAGTTAGTGCAGCAATGAAGACAAACCGGGTGGCGGTCCGCTCCCATGTACGAGAACACAAATACAGATAACAAACCTAGAAGAAAGGCTCGAGAGAGCTGTGTAAAGACGAACACCACTTGGCTATGACGAGGTAGTAGGCCGCCGTGCTGCACGAACTGGTGGCTAGCCGGCGAGCTAACTGTCGAAGAGGTAGGGCGACGCTGAGAGCGACGGTGTGCGTTGTGTATATATGTCAAAATCCTACATTTTCCATGTCGTTAGAGACACCTCTGCTTATGGGTTGATGGATCGCCCTAAGGCCCAGGTTGCGAGTGTCGCTGTTTGCCGCCTGCCTCCCATTCGCCTCCCCATCGTCTAGAGGAGCTCTCTGCTATACTTCTCTTCAAGGTGCCTTCTGATTCTTGGGCCACCTACTCCTGTCCGTACTCCTAAAGCTCGAAGTGCCTCGCACACAACCGCGGCATAACACACACGCACACACACCGCGCGTTGACTCCGGCGCCGTGTAACATAGAGCACCAAAGTACCCTTTTTGTACAAGCACCCTGAGCTCTTCTCCTTCACAGCCGGCCTTTCTGACCCGTCGTACCAAAATGTTTTTTCCCTCTCAGCCAGGGCGTATAATAGGGTACACTTTCCCCGATCGGCCCCCCATCACCGCCCCCAAGCCTGAATATTTCATCAGACAAAAATCCCCCCCTGCGCGTGAGACCGACGAAACCGTTGACCTCTCCCCACTATAGACCGTCCTACAGCAAAAGCCCAGTCGCCAAACCTGCATCAACCAGAAGAGGGGAGGGAGGGAGACCGAGACGGAGACAAAGAGCCCCGCAGTCCGTCTCCTAGGATGCATTGCATATGTATCTATATGTCACGATAACACCTCCCACCTCTCATCCAATCAGATTTCGAGGTTTTCCTCGCTCACCCCAAGAGGGGGGAAGGGGAAAGAAGCGACTCGATACGGTCCGTTGGTGTAGTTGGTTATCACGTCAGTCTAACACACTGAAGGTCTGCGGTTCAAGTCCGTGACGGATCAATGATCTCTCTCGTTTTCTTTTTTGGTCCCCCTTCGCGAGCTCCGCGTCGACCGTTGCTCGGCTTGCTCCAGCGCGATGATCTTTCTTTCTCTCTGTCGTGCGTACCCAGTAAGTATTATTGCTTGCCGTAATCTGAATATGCCCACGATGCTACACTAATCAAGGGTGAGCAGGGGTTGAACGTGGGTGTCTTGTATACACATATATATACATCTCGAACCGCTACAAGTACCTTGTCTCGAAGGCAGGCGCCTCGCCAGAAAGAGGGCTTCTGTGGTTGGCGGAGAGAAAAATCTTCGCGAACGCCACTCCCTCTGCCAGAAGCACAAAGCCGGCGCTGGCGTTGCACGTTCCCGTGCAGATCCACTCAAGCACCGCTCTCGCCAGCTTCGCGATAGTTGCCCGTGCTATAGACTTGCCGGGCGATGCCGCTGGGGTCGTCTCCCGGGACGCCGTCCTGGATCCCATCCTCGTCCCTGATGCGCCGTTCGACCTCGAACCTGCCGTCCTTGCCCCAGTACCCGAGCTTCTCCTCCCCACGCACCGCCTTCTCGGTCACCAGGACGTAGTGCATGGGCGCATCAAACATGGCCTCGGCCAGCACCCGCTCGACTTCCATCTTGAGCCCACGAGCACCGGTCCGTGACTTTTCGGCGCGCTCGGCAATGGCCAGGAGGGATTTGTGTGTGAAATACAGCCGGGACGGGTAAGTCTCGAACAGCGCAGTATACTGCGCGACCAGGCTGTTCCTCGGTTCTGTGAGGATGCGAAGAAGATCTTGCTTCGACAACGGAGACAATGCTACAATGTTGTGGACACGACCAATGAGCTCGGGGATAAAGCCGAAGCTCTGTAGATCCTCGGGCGTCGTCAGATCAAGTGCTGTCATACCGGCGGCTGCAGTGTTGCCGTCCGGGCGATGAGGAAGATGAGCGAAGAGCTCCGGTGCCAGATCGGGCTGTTTCCCGTCTGAAGTCGAGCGGCTGCGCACCTCGGCGCCAAATCCTATCGTGGGCTTGGCAACTCGGCTCAGAATGACTTTATCGAGGCCTACGAAAGCACCGCACATCACAAACAGGATATTGCTGGTGTCAATCGTGTACTGGTCGACTTTGCCGGACGCTGGCGGTCCTGCCTGTGGTCCCGATGTCGCGTTACTGCCGCCAGGGCCGTTGTAGTTGGTGGTTATGGGACTCGCCGAACGTGTCGAGGACGCAGAGCGGTTGTCTTTGACGTTTACCGTCACTTTTGTCCCCTCAACCAGCTTCAAAAGTGCTTGCTGAACGCCTTCGCCTCCCACATCACGACCGTTCATGGTCTCACGCTTCGCAATCTTGTCGAACTCGTCCAGCACTACAATGCCCTGCTCGCATGCTTTGTTGTCGTAGTTTGCTTCTATGAGGAGCCGCTCGATACAAGTCTCTACGTCTTGGCCGATGTATCCTGCTTGGGTGAACGAATTGCAGTCGCAAATTGTGAAAGGCACGTTGATCTGTTTACTCAGAGTCCTGCAAGAATTAGCTCAAGTGGCCGCGCCACTGTTGACGTGAGAACATACTCTAGTATATATGTCTTGCCAACTCCCGTTGGCCCTATGAGCAGCAAATTGCTCTTGTCTATCTTGACAGGAGGTGTATAGGTCTCATCCTCGACGATGTAGAAGTCGTCTTCTTGTGTACTCTGCCAAGCTTGGTGCATTGCTTGTATCGAGTCGTTGTGGCCAGGGAACTCGTCTTGCGGGTAGTCGTCAGCGTCGTAACGGTAGTGCAGTGAGGTGGGATGGTCCGCACCTTCGACCGGATGCGGATCTCTCTGCCGCGTGGTCCGGTCTCGGGCGATAGCCTGTCTCATGAGCTTCTCTTCTCGCTTTCTCTCCAGCTCCTCGTTGTGTTTGCGGCGGCGCAGTCCCTGATAGTGGTTGAATATGACTGACGATATCGTCTTCTTCGCCCGGTCCTGGCCGACGACATACTGGTCAACCCGCTTCTTCAAGTCCCGAGGGTAGAATTGTGGGACCCCAATGGATGTCTTGCTGAACATGGGCCCACGGCCTTCTTCGTTGGGGTCGTAGCTGCTGGAGAAGCCGGAGTTGAAGTCGGAGGCACGGCGGGGGGCGATCTGGAGGCTTGCCGCGGCAGAGAGGGCTCGTTGTCGGCCAGGGAGTGCGTTCGGCCTATTCCGCGAGATCCGGACGGCGGACTTCATTTTGGATGCACGGTGTCTTTGTGCTCTGAATGGGTACCGAGAGCGTTGCGGTCGTTCGCAGTCATATAGTGGCCCAGCCCGAGTCGCAGTCACCGCCCAGAGTGCCTGGCTAGCAACACCTGGGCGGGTAGGAGTCTGAAGCGGGGATCGTCGGAAGGCCGGAAGCCGCAGTGCGGACTAGAATAGCTCCAAGGGAACCATCCAGGATCCAGGTGCAGCTGTAGCAGTTGCAGGACTGTCGGGTTGATACCGGCGGTTCGGGGGTGGCTGTGCGAACGGGCAAGGCTGAGGTGTCGTAGATGCAGCCGTGGCTGTTTGTGGTTGTCGTCGTTTGCGGAGGAGCTGCAGCTCCGATCATGGAGCTGGCCTGCCCCACTGGGCGTGGGCGGGCGTGCGATTCGCGGCCGGGGTAGGAGGGCCATGCGGCTCTGGCGACGCTGGCCCGTCTGCCCAGGTGGGTTGCTAAAGTTGGCAGGCCCCTTGGGGCTTAGGCTCGACTCTGGGTGGGCTCGCGTGCGGGGGCCTGTTGGAGCTGGTTGTCGAGGGGCTGGCCAGACGGGGACAAGGGCAGCGGGCATTCACCACGCCCGCCGTTGTGCATGCTTTCTTTTGTGCTATTCTCGTCCTGCATTGCGGGTTGCGATCATTGAGCATAACCTCGTGTAGGCGGAGCTTCGTCTCTGCCGCGCCCCTACCATTCTGGCGGCCGTGCCTTGCAAGTTCCGGGCGCATCGCCGATGGTATTGCGTTGGGGATCCGACGAGACATTTGGCCGAAGGTGGACCAACAACCCATGTTGAGCTTGCACGTCGCCTGAGAGGACCCTAGTCTCCAATCCAGATTGCACCCTCTAGCTCAACAATCGCGTTCTCTTTTCCTGGCTGCGGGAGGGTAACTCGGGACGAGATTCGGGACGAGGAGGTTCCAGCTCTCAATGTCGTCTGCAATGTCGAGTCCAGCACCAAAGCTCCACGAAGAAAGATGCAAGCGAGCAGGCAGCTCCGGGGTCGGACTTGCTGTCTGCATGTTTGGTGCCTTGGATGCGCGAGAGAAGGGGCGACTGGTGAAAACATGAACCCTGTGGCGGGCGCCATTGGCGCTGCTCATTGGCTGCGTAGCTCGGGAGTGCCGTTGCGCTGTCTGCATTGTGGTGTGCATTTCTGCGAGCATTTGGCAGCGTCCTCGCTGCGAGTTGCCCCTACAACGTCATCCGCCTGCAAATCTCCACCCATTCCACTCCAGCTCTCCGCGCCCGCGCGGGTCGCCTAGACTGCAATAGTGGGGTGATAAGCTCCAGCTCGCTTTATTGTTCTTCTCTGCCTGCACTCCTTCAGCACTCAAGGTTTCCAGTCCTTTCCCTCTCGCACTCTCATATCTTCAGAATCTCTGTTCAGTACGCTGCTGTGCAATCGATCTTGTTGCGAACCCCAGTCTCGACATATTATACAGCCTCACGAACTACAGCTCCCAAGACCAACCATGGCTACCGTCGCCGACACCGCGGCGAACACCCTGGACCCCAGCTCCTCTGCTGGAGCTCCGGACGGCATCCCCAACGATGGCACCGGTACGATGTTCTACTCGTCCCAGGTCCACTGTCTTTGGCGCAATTGGCTAACCTCTGGCCCTCCAACCAGGTGTGGTGAAGCTTGACCCCTGGCTCGCTCCCTTCCAAGATTCGCTCAAGCAGCGATACTCCAAGGCTCAAGATTGGATCAAGAAGCTCAACGACACAGAAGGTGGCGTCGAGAAATTCTCAAGGGTTTGTTCCTCTCAGGCTCCGCTCACAGCCGGCACCAAGCTGACACCCCAACACAGGGAACCGAGATCTACGGCTTCAACGTCGACAAGGACAACAACATCATCTACAGAGAATGGGCACCGAGCGCGGTAGAAGCGTTCCTCATTGGTGATTTCAGTACGTGCATCTTGCGACATGCTACGGAGCTCTGGACCACGATCATTTGACTGACAAGCAATCCGACAGACAACTGGAATCGGGGAGCCCATCCCATGAAACAAAATGAGTTCGGCACATGGGAGATCACGATCCCCGCCGTCAACGGCCAGGCCGCGATCCCTCACAACTCGAAGCTCAAGGTGTGTAGTTCCAACTTGAAGCTCATGGCATCTTGAAGGCTGGCCTACTGACATTTCATCATGCTCCAGATCTCCATGACTTCCCGTGCAGGAGAGCAAATCGATCGTCTACCCGCGTGGATTAAATACGTCACCCAAGATCTCGCTGTTTCTCCGGCGTATGATGCTCGTTTCTGGAACCCGCCGGCCGCAGAAAGGTACACCTTCAAGAACCAGCGCCCCAAGAAGCCCGCGAGTATCCGTGTGTACGAGGCTCACGTTGGTATTTCTTCGCCCGAGCTCCGAGTCACGACATTCAAGGAATTCACGAAGGACATGCTGCCAAGAATCAAGGGTCTCGGATACAACGTCATCCAGCTCATGGCAATAATGGAGCATGCATACTATGCCAGCTTCGGCTACCAGATCAACAACTTCTTCGCCGCCAGCAGTCGCTACGGTACGCCAGAAGACCTCAAGGAGCTGATTGATACGGCCCATGGCCTGGGTCTGGTTGTCCTGCTCGACGTGGTGCACAGCCACGCCTCCAAGAACACCCTGGATGGCCTCAACATGTTCGACGGCTCGGACCACTGCTACTTCCACGAAGGTGCCAAGGGAAGGCACGAGCTGTGGGACAGCCGGCTGTTCAACTACGGGAGCCATGAGGTCATGCGATTCCTTCTCAGCAATCTGAGATTCTGGATGGACGAGT